GTGGGACTACGTTTTTGAACTGATGAGAACGGATGTTCCGGTTAAATCTGTTTCGGATGTTTGACAGTTCAAATCATTTCAAATGTTCAATAACTATCCAATGTTGATTCAATCGGTTCATACTCTGTGATCGACAGTAGCTGGTTCGATTTTCGAACTATTAATTATTGACATTGAGGTTAGATTTATTCACAAATCACAAATTACTGCTGGACCCCATGGCCGTGGCGCAATCCAATAGAAGTAAGTTATACTACAGTGACTCTATTACCCACAGTGCCCAGTGGCGACAATTGCTGTTTTATTTTTGATTGGTTCTAAAATCCCATATATTTATATTGCAAACGCCGCCATCTTGTTGCCACCTATTGCTCTTTTCACATCTGAATATATGGAATTTAGGTGAACATCCACCATAAAACATGGAAAACAACGTATTTGATAGACCTAATTATAGTCATCAAATACGTCGATTTCATTTTTTTATGATAGATGTCCATTTAAATCCTATATATTAATATTTGAAAGTAACAAGAGGTTGGGAACAAGATGGCGGCGGGACCTCTATTGTCGCCACTGTATGTAAAGGTTTATTTAGCCACTGTAAGTTATACGAGTGACTTTTATCATTTTGACAATAAATAAACAATTAAAAATAAAACAAAGTCCTGAATTATTATAGTTGTGGAATGATTGCAGTCGCTTGGAGATAAAATGTTGTATGCTATTCGGTTGGAAGGTCTTTCTGCCCTTCGCTCGATTGTAGGCCTTCGCTACATATCAGCCTTCAATCAAACGTTGAACTCAGCACAAAAAGGCCCACTTCTCGGCCTATAATGACATGGATAAATATTTCAAGTTGAAAAGTTCCTTTTTCATGGCCAGAACTATTTGTCTAGTGTTTCAAATTTCAAAAATATTTGCACGCTGCCAGAGGGGAAGTTACTAGTGATAGGAGATGATAATAAAAGAATATACTAAATGAGTCCAATGACAATTACACAAATATATAATCGAACAGCAATCACGCCTCGGCCATAGTTTTCTTATGATGAATAGGTCTGGGTATAGCCAGCCAATCATGGTCTAATTAGCGGTACGATAGGATTAAAAAGTCGGACTGGGGCAACAAAAGTAAAGGAACTGATCCCCTTTCTTGATGATATTGATTGATTTGATACAGTAGATCATGGTATTTTGTTAATAAGATTAAAGGAGGCTGGTATAAGGGGAATTCCATACCTTTGGTTTGAAAACTATCTACTAAATAGGAAACAATATGTCAATGTGAATAGTGTAAATAGCAGTTTAGGAGTAATTAAATGCGGGGTTCCACAGGGGTCAGTTTTGGGTCCCACTTTGTTTTTAGTCTACATAAACTCAATTGGGAAACTATTTTTAAGAGGTAATATAAAGCTTTATGTTATGATGATACAACACTAGTGTACTATGGTCAAGATGTAGAAACAATAAAGAATGACATTTGTAGTGATTTGTCTGAAGTGAGCATATGGCTTAAGTCTCATAAATTGACTGCTAATGTTGAAAAGTCATCTTACATGTTTTTGAGTAGAAAAAATGTAAACGGCGTTCAGCACAATATATTGTTTGAAAGTCAACAATTGCAAAACATCTCTGTCATAAAATATGTGGGTCTTTACATAGACAGTACACTTGCGTGGTCTGCACACATTGATCATATTCGAAAAAAAGACTTTTGTTTAGAGTTGGCTACTTATTGACAAGAAAATTACGTAAGCAGTTATACTATGCACATATTTATAGTCATTTGCATTACTTGATATCAGTCTGGGGCACAGCGGCAAATTATATGTTAAATCCTCTAAGAGTTCTCCAAAACAAAAGTATAAAAAATGTTTTTAAACTTCCCTTAAGGTATAATACCGAGCAATTGTATAAAAAGAGTAAATTCCTGAATATTAATCAAATTTATAGTTTTAAAATAATATTGTACATTTATTATATAAGTAACAAGAACAAAAGATCAAATATTTCATTTGTGAATGTTACAAATATTCATAATCATCACACTCGACAGGTGAATAATTTATATATCACACGAGTTAGATCAAACATAGGATTAAATTCAATCTACCACAGAGGTGTGAAATTATACAATACCTTGCCGCTGACCCTAAGAGGTATCACTAAGCATTTTTTATTCAAAAAAAAACTGAAACAATTTATTTTAGGTCTCTCCTGGCCTTCTTATTGGGGCATTCAGGCGGAATCTGTTTGTGTTTTTTTAATTTTTTAATTTTTTTATGTTTCGCTGTCTCTCACTCTCTTGCAAACCTTAAATATACTTAGGTAAGAAATAGAAAATAAAATGTTATTTACTTGTGACTGGTTCCTTTCATGTGATAAAAGTAGGAAATAAATATGTATATTTTTCAGTTAGGCATAACTATTTAGTAAATTAATGATTAGATGTTTTATACCTATTATTAATACTGAGATAAATATCTATGTTAAAGCGCGCCCATCCTGAATGATAATTGTTATTTTGTTTGTTATAGATAAGCTGATTCCTAGGATAAGAATATTTTTTGTTAATTCTTCTTGGAATCAATAGAGCTGATTTACTTAAAAAAAGATATAACATTTCTGAAGAAAATATTATTGGAGCTAAAATTTTTGGTGTAAGGTTCACAAGAACATAAAAAAGTTTTTTCATTAAGACGGCAGACGGCCCAATTTCGATGTCCGGCCCCCGGGCATTTGCCCGGTGTCCCGGCGGTCCCACCCGCCCATGGGGCATCCTAAAACCGATACTGTTTATAATTTTTCAATAACACGATGAAAAAAGCAGGTCCATATTTAAAAAAAAATAAATTGATGATGATTCCACAGGAACGAAACGTTGGATTTCAAATTTAATACCGCCATCTTGTAGAGAAGAAAAAGTGACAATGGGAATGTGAAATTAGTTTTTCAAAATCTTTTTAAATGGAATCGGGAAATAATTTAAGAAAAACGAGAAATTCTTGTTTTTTTTCGTATAGTTTTCATTTTTTCCTGATTTTATTTAAGAAGATTGTGAAAAACTAATTTTACATTTCCATTGTCACTTTTTTTCTCTACAAGATGGCGGTATTAAATTTAAAATCCAACGTTTCGTTCTTCTGGAATCATCATCAATTTATTTTTTTTAAATACGGACCTGCTTTTTTTACTGTTATTGAAAAATTATAAACAGTATCGGTTTTAGGATACCCAAAGATGACAAAATCGCAAATAAAAAATCCAGGCCCGTATTTAAAAAAAGGAAGTTGAGGATGGCCGCCTGAAGACGAAACGTCGAATTTGAAATTTAGTAGCACCATCTTTTAAAGGGGAAAAAGTGACAACGATGAAGTGACATTTATTTTAAAATGGCTCTTCAAATAAGCCCACGAAAAAATAAAAACGATTTTACAAACTTTCGGTTTTTTCCGAATATCTCCGGAAGTATTTGGAATCTTTCTAATTTCAAAACAGCATTCTATTGGTCATAAAATTGCACAACTTTGCCATCATTTAACCGACCCCGTATATTTTACGGTTACCGAGATCCCAATGATGAGGCTCGAATTTGGGCCACCCGTACAATCTTGGTTCAAAACATAGTTCAGCTGAACTCGACTGGTACTTGAGCTTTCCCATTTAAAATACATTGCTGTCAACTAATAATCAAATTCTATCAATTTTGACAGCAATGCATTTCAAATGGGAAAGTTCAAATACCAGTCGAGTTTACCTGAACTCTGTTTTAAACCAAGATTTTACAACTGGGCCTCAAAGTATGATATGCGATTTCTGGGTTAGAATGGGATGATATTCCCAGCGATTACCACATGATTCTCAGAGCCAATGGATTCCTATATGATTCCCATGGTTCCTAGCGATTCGTAGGTTATTTCCAGGGACTCCCAAGTGATTTCCATGTATTCCTGATTGCTCTGTTGGCTTGAGGTCATTTGGCTCATGCTCCGAGACTTTTTGGTCTGCAGTGGAGGGCAGTGAGAGTTCTGGTTCATGTCGGATACCAAGAGGACCTCAGGCCCATACATTTATGGAGGCCCATTGTACATGCATCATAATCTGCATAATATTGGGGCTCTGGGTGGAACCCACCAACATGATGATACCAGACATCGCCACAATATCAGGATTGATTTTCTCAGACTAACAGCAACAAGGAATGGGTCACTTTCACATTTTTCAAAAACATATTTAAATTATTCTTTTAGTCATTCTAATATTATCTGTATACTTTTTTTCTGAAAAAAAAAACGCATATTTTTGGAAAAAAAATTATTTAAAAATCGAATTTTTAAACTGGCGCGTAAACGCGAACCTGGTTTGTGACGTCACAAACCAGAAAATCAACAAAAGTGCGATGATGCCAAATTTCTCATTAGTAAATCATTACACATTTCACTAGCTAGAAACCATTTTCGTCCTTTACTACGTTATAAAAAAACAAAGGATAGGTATAATCCTTATTACTCATTTAAATTTCGCATTTCTACATGTGGCTACAAAAACGTCAAAATCGGCTTTAGCCAATCAGAGAGCGTTTTCAATAACGTGATTTTTCATTTAAATTTTTAGTTTTTATTTATTAATTTATTCAATAATCTGACTAATATTTTGCAAAATATTGTTCATTCTTGGATGCATTGATCTGCGTCAAAATATATCATAATTTGCCATATTCCCGGCATGTGAAAGTGGCCCATTCAACACTTTATTTTGCTTTTGTCTTTCATAATAAATTGCCTGTCTTTGTAAGAGAGCTGACAGCTCAGCGATTCAAGTTTGTAATTAAGAAATATCTGTTAGGCTGAGTTTTTTTAAAATCATTATAGGGAGTTTCTATTGGTGTGACACTGTGGTTGATTTGTTGATTATTATTTGACGAATGTAAAAATTTATACCTGTATACATGATTGTGCAATTGAGAAAAATTTGATAAACAAGTTTTTTTTTATTAGTTTTGGCCAAATGAATTCACGAGACAGACGAAGTAAAGTAAGTAGGCAAGACTTAGCACGAGCCACATTGGTCACCATAACAAACAATATCGGTTCCATAGCCAGAATGTGCGCTATGCAACACAGTTTAGAAAGAGTAAGTTTTATTTAAATCACAAAAACCAGATAATATGAATATCAATATTTTTACAGGTGGTATTTATAGGTAATTTCTTACGAGTCAATCCTATAGCGATGAAGCTTTTAGCTTACGCCATGGACTATTGGTCAAATGGATCGATGAAAGCCTTGTTCCTTGAGCATGAAGGATATTTCGGGGCTGTAGGCTGTTTATTGCAATACCACGACAATATCATTAGGTAAATAAATGAATATTATTGTGCATAAGTAAATCATATTGTAATACTAGTGTTAAGAAATAAGAATACAACAAAAAGTGGCTTATATACTTATTATTTATGTTGAGAAAGTAATAATCGAAATATGTATTTAACTTGTTCCAAATTGGTAATTTATAAGTTTTCATCAATTATATTTTTTGTAAAAAGTAGTACCAGAGGGTTTCTACCGTTTATGTTATTGTTATTAGTTGATTATAAATTACACACAGGAATTTGTGTGAATATCTTTTTATACCTTTTTTGTAGAATAGTTAAGATTCCTAATATAATAAATAACTCATATGAATCAAAAATGTTTTAATATTAAAGTGCTGTTGAATAATTTTATGATAATCTGTGATGTGCAACCACTACATTATTTTTCAATTGGTTCCATTTATTTATTTTTTAATTTTAAAGCTATTTGTGTTTGAAAGTACAGATAAGCTTTTTTATTTTAATTTTAAAGCCTAGCACTCACTTGCGGACCAATTGAACAATCCGATGCACTTAGTTTGGGATGTGATTCAGAGGCGGTCAAGCATTTGTTGCAGATCCTCAGAGAATTTCATGCGCTGTATATGTGTGTCTGTGTTTTTAATGGAAAACCTTTGTTGATATTAGATTAATTATTGAAGCACTGCCTTGATAGGCCATTGTACGTCCTCATGTGAGTGCATAGCTTTACAAAGTGTCTTTGAAAGTTGTACATTAACTTTTAAGTTTATATATTATATAAGTACCTTATTAATTTGTAAGTAAAAACAGGTGTTGGTTGTGGCATTTATAGTGCACAGGTGTAAAATAAATTATACAGCTACACTTAACAATAATATTTATTGACAAAAAATATATTACAATAAAAATCGTTTCTATATGTCATTCCCTTGTTTATTTATTTATTTATTCTTTTCAGTCAACCCAGCATAACCTGAAACAAATGTATTTATTTATTTGGAAGGAGCAGTAGACCCTGCAACCCTACCACATTTATTAGGCAATTCAAGTATTCACCCAACCCACCTAATAGTAACTACAAAATAATGTATGCTTATTTTTTTCTCACCTTAGAAATAAATAATGTAGCAAATGCCTTAATAAATTAGTGGGAAACAAAAATAATTGCAGGATTTATTTATTCTTAGTAACAGTATGTATGTATGTATTACATCAATTTTGCTTTAAGCATTCAGCTTATCACTTGAAAATATACTAATAAATAATAAATAAATAATCTATTTTGCATTAGAAATTGTCAAGGTTCACAACCTAACCCACTTTAGTCTCTTCAAGTCTGCAAATTTTGAGAAAATGTATCTGAGATTAAAAATACTGAAGTGAAACTCACATTTTGACATAATCCCTCTTTTGTCTATATTCGTAGTTGCTGAAATCCATAATATTTAAATTTTGATCCACTGCAGCAAATAAGTACTCGGAATCGAAGGAGAGGCTGTAAACTGGCGAATTCAATGTGGTTCCTTTACAAGACCTCGTGAAGTATAACTGAAAAGATATACTTGTAATTTTCTGTTTTAAGTTTACAATTTAAAAGTTATATGTAATGTTCTTAACTTATCACCGAGCTTATCACATATTTTCTAAGTTAATTTTTTTTTAATGATCCTACACATGAAAATATTGTCCTTTGTAGGTTGTGAACGATTGAGAAACTTATATGAAAACTTGGCATTCCTATACTATACAAAAATTGAATATGCACGTTAGATGCAAAGGATGTCAGTCGAGGTCAGGCCCATGGTGGGTAACTTCTGACTTGTCATTGTATTGTAACATTATGTGTGGTGATTATCATGTTTTGTTAAGAAAATCTCATCAAGCTATATTGGCAGATATTGCCATATATTTTGTTTTTATGTTGATGTGTTTGCATTAAAAAGTTGTACGGTGTAGTTCTAGGAGTAGTTCGTCGAGATTTGCAAAACAGAATAGGCCCCTTGCATCAAATTTTTTTATTGCTGATTTCGATAGTCCATGAAAAATAAGTCAACACGTGTTTTTTCTTTTTCTTCTTAGTCAAAAATTGACGGAGATACAACACTATGAAATATGCCTATGACGTCATCAGGTATAATACTTTATGACGTCGCACATGCTCAGTATATCTATATATACAAAACTTAATATTTGTATAACTTCCGAAATAATCATATTTGGGCGAAATGAAAAAAAAGTAACGATTTTTTTTCGATTTCCTACAGTTTACAATAAACAATAATCAATTTAATTTTCCATGCAAGTACCCTATTCTTCCATCGAAAATAGAAAACCGGCTTTTTGTGTTGTGATTTTTGGAATAAAGTGTAGGAAAAGAACAAAATCTTTCGAGAAGTGGGATCATATCCAAAAAGACCCTAGTTATTACACTGTTTGCACAAATGAATAAAGGGTCATTTCGCTTTATTTGCTATAAGGCTAATAGACACAAATTATCCTTTGTTTTTCATTCTCAGATCACGTTTATTATAAAAAACGCTATTGTTTTATTAGCCACATCTTCCAAAAAATATAGGCATTTCAATGAAGATTTACAATTTCATTAATCCTGGGCATTAATTTATAAGAAAAAGATTATACAGAAAAAACAAAATTGCCTTCAATAAACAAAAACAAAATAGGATTAAATACAATTTATAGGTGAACATTCCATGAATATCACTTGAAGGTTATTCTTGTGGTCTGGACCAATCGACGGACAAAATTAGATGGTCATAGCCGTGTCCATCAAGCCTAGCTATAACTTGGGCTGCGTCACGTTTATATTTGAAATGGATATAAGCAAATCCTTTACAGAGACCAGTTTGTTTGTCTTTTGCCAAAAAAAGCTTATGAATAAACCCAAATGGTTTCACCAGCTCCGCCAAATCTTCTTCCGTTGTTGACTCGCTAAGGTTCGAAATACGAATAGCTGGATAGTTGTCGTCTCTTCTATTTGTGTTATCAGATCTTTTGGTATTGCCCTGCCTTAAACTTGGAGGAACGTACTTCAAACTTTCAGACTTTTTGGTCTCGGCGGCAGTTGGCTTTGTTTCATTTGAGTTAGCGTTAGTCAAAAAGGTGTCTTTGAACATACATTTTGAGGTCCAGTGATCTCCTCCACAGCTACGACATTTAACCACGTTCTTATTTCCCAAAGCTTTCAGCTTGTCAAGACCATCATCAATCTTTTTGTCTTCCTCTTTGCTTGAGATGAACTGCATATAAACGTCTTCTCCTATAAAAGTTGTGGCTGGATTCGGACCAGATTTATCATTAGCAGAATCGCCAAATTTGTTCCAAGTTTTTCTCAGAGCGATGGATTTTGGAACAATCCGTTTTTCTATTTTGTAAGTGCGTACAATTTTCACTTTTTTAGAATTGTCCAAGACTTTGAATTCGGTAACAATTTTGACGTTGTTTTCGAAAACCTCGCTTGAAACTGGCGTTAATGCACTTTCCGATTCAACTTCTTCCGCCCAACTGGACTTAATCACTTTGTTGCTGGAAGCCATTTTTCATGCAATGCGAGAATATTTTGAAGGCTTTTGAAACACAAAGATGTCAAAGTTGAAATACTGACAAATAGCCCGTCAAATAGTGACAGATTTAGGTGCCCCATTTTCGCATACAAGCCTTAAAGATGGTTGCACATCGATTTTGAGTAGGATGGAGGGAAATTTACGAGTGGCTCCTTGGGATAACATTATGGAAAATTCGATTTCCATTTGTCAATCAGTGCGCACTGAGTGTATCCGCATATTTTTCTAAAAGCATGTAACATGTAAGGTGTAACAAGGATAGATTTTTTTTGCACTGGTTCGACAAATGGAATTCGCTATTAAAGTCCGTCGATTTTAATAATCTGATACTCGAGAGGAATGTGAGCTGGTGAGTGGCTGGTGACACTCTCCATTAGAACGCCAATGGTCACCTGATGTCACACCTGTTTTTGCCATATACTTCACCTCCTCGCTCCTCATACGGAAAAAGTCAGATTAAAAACGACGGACAATATATTATCTATTATCCTAAAATGTACTTTTTCATTCGCGCCACTTGAGCCAATATGCAGCAAGGAGCAAAAGCCAAATGTGGTGGGGATATTTTTGTTATGTTGAAGAAGAGGGCACTAGAGCTCGCCCACTGGACTCTGATATTTTCCAATGTGTAAATTTTTTTGGAGGATTAACGTTCTACGTTCCATTTATGTTTTGCCTGTTTGGGTTCACATAATTTTGTTTTGGTTTTGGTGTTGATTGAATTTTCTCAACTTCACCATTTCCAAAATGGAAGAATCAAAATCTAGAGAATTGCCTTTTACATGTAAATCCAGTTTCAAACCCATAGGATTGGGATATTACGTGATATTACTTTTAAATTGAGTATAAGTCGGAGAACTGACTCTATGAGATAGCATTGAAACAAACCTTACCCACATGCAATAACGTTTTGCCTTTCACATGTAAATCCAGTTTCGAATCCACCAGATTGGGATATGACGTTTAAATTAAGTATAAGAATTATATGTAGGTATGTAATTTTATAATTAGGTAAAGTCCGTCGATTTTAATCTGATACTCGACCGAAATGTGAGCTGGTGGCACCCTACATTAGAATGCCAATGGTCACCTGACGTCACACCTGTTTTTGCCATATACTTCACCCCCCAGCTCCTCACACGGAAAGTGTCAGATTAAAAACGACGGACAATAGATACCTAGTGTTATTTATCTTTGTCACTAGATGTCATTGCTTTTATTTGTTTTGTTGATTGTTATATTATGATTTTTCAGGAATAGAATGAAATTTCACATCTATGGCAATGTGAAGCATCTTACCTGTACACATCTTTTAGTCCGTACATCCCATAAAGCAACCCTTCCATGTAGATACGTACCAACCATAATACTGTTGCAGTAGTCATAATCTAAACAGTATAAACCGGCACCAAATGCGTCGTGAAACTTTTGTTCACAGTTACCAGTTCTTAAATCCCATCTAATGACATTGAAAATTATTTTCCTATCAACATTACAAATAAATAAATGGATTACCTTCTTAAATGACTATCATTACCGCAAGACCATATACCATTGGGGCCATCCCATTTGATGTCCAAAGTTGCAGATATAAAATGACCGAGTTTTAAATTCATAATCTCTGTATACCTGCGAATAAATGGAAAATAAATCCCTTAAAAAAAGTTTTTGGTTGATAAACTACCTATCAGTATCAAATAACAATATTGATTTCCTGCTATCACCTCCTGCAGATGTACCACACGCAAATATGGGTCGTTCTTCGCAAAATGATACACACCAAGCTCTCTGACCTAATTCCTGGGTATGTATTAAAGTTAATTCTAAAAAAAAAAATATTAGCTCAATGTCAATAATGTATTGCCTATTTCAACTTACCTAAAGGATCTCGATGTAGTGAAAATATTTTAAAACAGTCATTTCTCATTCCGCTAGCTACTACCAGTCCATCAGGAGAAATATCAACCGAACAAGTGAATGTATGTTCGTCTTTATCGATATAGAAATCATTTTTGTTGATGAGATTTTGAACGTAAACTCCTCCATCACTAGAAAAATATAATATGCTAGGATTTTCAGTTAGCTATTCAAGTTACAAGGCCTATAAATATGAGATACTCGCTGACGCTGAAGTTTCTATAGCTGAGGTTTATAATAATCGTGTTTTATTCTCGGTTCTATTCTATTCTAAATTTGTAGTCTGTAGATTTTGCAACACAATCATTACTTTTCAGAACAAGTTGGAGATAAACCCAAGTTTATTAAATATAATAATTTCACAATTTATTTTCATACATAGTAATTTATTTCTTATCAGCAGAAAAGGAGGCAGAATGAATGTGAAAAGTGAATTATCAGTTGCTATTAATTTGCAGTCTATCTAAAGGATACTTAGAATTTAAAAAGCTAGATGATACTGGAGTTGAAGCTTCTGTAGGAATAATTGCTGATGAAGTTTATGTTTTTGTTTTGGCGCCATTATCTGCTGACGGACGTTAAGTACCTATGACTTCTCAATTTTAATTCTGATCATGTTATAATACAATGCAGTAAAATGTAACGAAAGACAAATAATAATGAATTTGATTTTATTTAATTGTAATAGGTAGAAGTTATTTGTAATCAAACAAGTACACATTATAAATGATAGGGTGATTCTTACTCTTACCTGAGTCCGCCTACCAAAATATCATCTTGAACAGTAAATTTAGTAACATCAATAGACGAAAATCCTACATTAACACAGCTATGACGATATTGAGGCGTTAAAACATAATTAGGCTTAGAATTGATTATACATTCTCTGTCTCGCTTGTAATTAAAAATTTTCGAACCTCGGCTGAACCACAGGTAATCTTTGTCTAATTTTAGCCATGGCATGTATCTTTTTCTAACATAGAAAAGATTCTTTTCGTTATACATGCCATATTTCCAATTGTTTTGCAGCCTTAACTTTTCTAATTTTGTTGGTATCTTGGTGAAACATCTGAAAAAAAAAAATATTGACATTAAAGATTTTAATGGCTTTTGGTATTTCTTTTATGCTTACAAATAATCAGCCAAAAGAGACAAGCTAAAAAACTTTTTCAAGAGAGAGTCAGTTATTATGTATACAGGGTTGTCGTTATGGATGGAAACGGCCGAATATTTCAGAACGCGCTTAAGAAAAATGTACATATGTCAATTTCAATTTCAAATAAGCTTTATTGCCCAAAAATTTCAAAATTTCATTGACAAAGCAAAAAGGAATATCTTATAATTAATACTTAAAATTAATACAATATCCAATAATTCAAACTGAACAAACACAAGACAAGAACAGTTTGACAGTCTAAAACACGTTACAACATTTACATTAACTGACATGATTATTTATAAAGTATGTATATAACACTATAGCTATCCCATTCAATCTTCATAAAATTCAGTAAGACCATAATATGCCTTGGCGACCAGGTAGTTTTTTACAGACATACGGAAACTCTCATAGCAGTCCCTATCCTTAATGTCTTGAGGAAGATGGTTAAACATTTTCACACTTTCATAAATTATTGAGTTTTTTGTAAGGGAATGTGTACCTACCTGGGCCCCGATTCTCGTCTCAGGGTGTTAGAGTTCCTCGAGAGAACACATTTTTCGTCTTTATCATTCTCTTTTACATTTCGATTACGTTGACAAGGACAAAACATTCGTTCTATCAGGGAGCTCTACTGAGGCGAGAATCGGGATCCGATTTTTGGGAATGCCCGATTCAATGGTGGTAATTGCAATGCTGCCAAGTTTACCGTTTTCAAGATGCTGTATGTAACTTAATTTTTTTAAATGAAAGTCCCTCTTCATTTTTATTGTAATTAATTCAGCTTCCCAATATCACTAAAACCTTAAATGCCAAACTTTTATTTGACTTGGTTTTTGAAATATGGCAACACAGCATTTTTGTTGAGACACATATGTATGGAAACGGTCATGTATTTCAGAATAGGCTTTAGAAAAATTCGACAATGCTTATTCACTCGCATATTCAAGATTGGGTACATTCAAGCAGTGCCAGAGGCTAAGTTCAGCCACTCAGCACTTTATTCTTGAAACAGGGGGCAGCGTTCTCATGAGAACGAAGGTTCTGTCTTCGTCGTCCATAACACAATGACAGATCAATCGTTCTCATGAGAACGCTGCTCCCCTGTTTCGAGGACCCTGCTGAGTGGCTGAACTTAGCCGCTAGCACTGCCCGAATGTACGCAATAGGGGGACTGGTAGGCACAGGTAGCGCTTTCTGAAATATTAGGCCATTTCCATACATAATGACAAGCCTTATGTTGATATAGAGTGTTTGGAGTTACTATTAATCACTCTGGATACAAATTTCAGTTTCTATGCACAAATCTTAGGTTTTGAGCAGAATTGTGATGGTATATTGTACGGTTTTCTGCTGTGATGGAAAAGTATGATATATGCTATGTTGCTCAGTGGATCCTAAAGTCAACGAACAATAATTGTGATATTGTGTCAGTGAACAACTTTTAGCGCCTGAAATGATTAGACATGAAATATGTGAAAACCTATATGAAAAGTGGAAAAGAATGATGTTGTGAAGTTGCATTATATTGAGTTTGATAAAAAAGTGTTCTTTTTCTGCTGATTATCTGACAGGAAGGTAACAGAGAAGTCTTATGAAATAGTTATTTATTATACAAGGGAAAAAAGGACTAGATTTTAGCGCGAGGTGTGGTTTGTCTCCCGACCACTATTTTTTTCTGTGACGGGAAAATCTCACCATTTTCCATCTATACATTTTTTTTTTCTGTGACTGTACTTATACTGTTTTCCCTTTGAGAAAAAAAATTTGACTGGTAGGTACCTGTTACTTTTTTCCGGCGAGAAAAAAATAATCACTTTTTTCCCCTTACAGAAAAATAGTTATTTATTATACAATTATACAATTATACATTTATTATACTGTGTTGTCTCCCGCACACCTCGCGCTAAAATCTTACTTTTTTCTCATGTATAATACACTATTTTTTTCTGTGACGGGAAAATTTCAACATTTTTCCGAGCATTTTTCATCTATAAATTATTCCTTTTGAGAAAAAAATTTGACTGCTACCTGTTACTTTTTTCCCTCGGGAAAAAAAATTGACTGGTACCTGTTACTTTTTTCCCTTGGGAAAAAAAATCACTTTTTTCCCATGGGCGGTTACACACAGACATGGATGTCTTAATACATATACGTGCATTCATCAAAGTGCAAACAAAAACGTGCATGGCGCTTTTGTACAGACGCTCGCACAAAACTGCAGTCTTGCTATTCTTGCTACAGTATTCCGAGTGTGCATACAAAATTGCACATTCAAAAACGTAACGGTATTTTGCATACATATTTATGTTTTTGTTTGCACGTTCATGTATGTGCGTACATGTTTTCAGACATCCACGTCCGTGTGTAACCGCCTCATGGGAGAAAAAGTGACATTTTTGCCCCTGTCAACAGGTACAAAAAGTCTACTTTTTTCCCGTCAAAGAAACAAATAGTTTCCCCTCGTTTTTATTCTCATCGGTGACTTCACCGATGAGTTAGCTGTCTTTGTTCAGTGAATGGAAAATGACAATGACGGCCATGTCTTGACAGGTCTTGATGGCCTCTTGGCTCAAATTTCCCCATCTTCCAGGGTGCTTCTCGGTGGAGACTTTAATATAGACTACCTTGTCGACAATGCAATCTCAACTTTAACGTTAAAAAACCTTTTGACTTCCAATGCTCTAAATATGCATGTCGCAATGCCTACGAGGATTACAGATACATCATCTACGTTAATTGATTACTTATGTTCAAACTATGGCGCGGAAGAAGTAGATTGCAGAGTTGTCAATGCAGCTCTGTCTGATCATGAGGCAATAATTTGTGATATTTTGGAGCCAAAAATAAGGTACGAAGAAAAGGTTAGGCTTGGTAGGGTATTTAATAGGAATAGTTATAATAGGTTTTATCAGGAATGTAACGAGGAATCATGGGGTGATGTGGCAGAACAAGAGGAACCCCTAAGCACTTTTCATCAGAAAACCATTAAAATTTTTGAACAATGTTTTCCCTTAAGGAAACTTAAAATGAAAAAAGAAAAGCCTTGGTTTACTAAGGGCCTCAAAACTTCCTCAAAAAATCTTCGTTGTCTTCATAAAATTAGGAAATTCACTGACAGTTTATTTTTTCACAACTTCTTTAAGTCATATAGGTCTCTTTATCGGAAATTATTGCCGCTGCTAAAAAGAAATACTACCACGATCGTCTTAATTGTTCATCAAATAAACAAAAAGAATGTTGGCAGATCATAAATAATATTCGCTCCAACAACTCTTCAAAACCGTCATCGTCCCCTGAGGTTACTCCCGATCATTTAAATCAGTATTATTGCAGTATTGCAAGAAATTTAACAAAAAATATCAAACCCAGTGAAGATTCGATGTCCTATATGACTGGAACATCAGTGGTTAATTCATTTTCATTTACTCCAACTAACTTGCATGAAGTAAAACAAACCTTGAAAAGTATTAAGAAGAAGAATACCTCCGGTGAGGATGGGCTGTCTGCGAACATCTTGCTTAGCATGCCTGATATCTGATATGATTCTGTCTGGCATACTTGTGAACTCTATAAATATCTCGTGGACAAGTGGTATATTTCCTACAAGCCTAAAGTCCGCAATGGTGATTCCCTTGCATAAGGGGGGGGACGAGTCCAACCCAGCAAATTTTAGGCCGATTTCACTACTGTCCACTCTATCTAAGTTGATTGAAAAGTTAACTAAGGCTCGTGTCATGTCATTTCTGGAGCGTAACAAAATTCTAAGCAAGACCCAATTTGGATTTCAAGCCAACACTGGCACAAACAATGCTATGTTCCATTTGCTCACTCGGTTATTTTCGTCCATCAACCAATCAAATGTAGCTGCGGCGGTATTTTGCGACCTAGCAAAAGCATTTGATTGCGTAAATCATTCCATTCTTCTTAAAAAACTTTACCATTATGGATTCCGGGGTGTGGTTTTAAAATGGTTCGAATCTTATTTGAGTGAAAGGACCCAGCGAGTTCTAATAGGATCGGATGCATCCAGACCGGGCCATGTTGAGTGGGGCGTGCCGCAGGGTTCAGTACTTGGCCCTGTTCTATTTCTGCTTTTCTTCAATGACTTGGCTATGCTTCCAATTAATGGAAAGTTTACCATTTTTGCTGACGATACTACCATATCGTGGAGCTGTAGTGACGTTGCTACTCTTAAAGCTGCCATTTCAGGGGACTTGGAATTGGTAAAGAAGTGGTGTGATGCTAGTTTCTTGACGTTTAACTATGGTAAAACTAACCTGGTTTCTTTTAAATGTCATATAGATGATATTGGGGTTGGAGATGGTTTAATAGCAAGGCGGGAGTATAGCAAATTTTTGGGTTTAACAATCGATTCCAATTTAAAGTTCGATGAACATATTTGCTCTCTCAGTAAGAAAATAGCTTCTGGCTGCTATGCTGTGAAGACGACAATCCGGGAGCTAGGGTTTAACTTCGGAAAATCAGTTTACCATGCACTAATTGAGTCACACCTTCGGTATGGCATTGTTTTTTGGGCTCAACAACTGATCAGCTAATTGGTATGTTGTTTATCTTACAGAAGAGAGCGTTGAGATATCTTTGTAATGCTAACTACAGAGAATCATGCAAACCTCTGTTTAAATCCAAGAAAATCTTAACCATCACTTCAAATCAAATCAAATCAAATAAGCTTTATTGTCAAAAAACAATTATTAATGTTGTAGACAAAGCAGGCCTTAATCCTAATTCATCATACATCCAACTTCATAACAAGGATAAAAATAAAATGATTCACAACAATTGAAGGTAACACATTAAAAAATTGTTGACGGATGTCAACTAGCATCACTAGCACCATAGCACTTACAAATTAATATAAAAAATTAAATCAAAATAAGCTATACCTA